ATATATAGATCTAATAGAGATATAATGATGTAACACTGTTAGTCAAAACTGTTACAATATTAGGAGAAAAGGCGTCTACTGAGTTTTCTTGTTTTGTTGTAATTGTTTTGTTTGTAGTGTTTTTTGCTTATTTGTTTAACTTAAGTTAAACGAAACTAGCCCTAAAGACATTAATTAGTTCAACAGTTAATGCTACATTGCTCCGTTAAGTGGTTTAGAAAACGGAATTGCTGTTTCAAGTAGCATGACCTGTATAATTAATTAATGTTACCAAAAGTATGTTTTTGCTTTTATGCGTTTGTTTTGTTATGTTTTGCTTTTGTGTGTTTGTTTTGTTTTGTTCGTTTTTTTGCTTAAAAAACAAGCTATAGTTAATGATAGGCTAGGCCTAATTAGTTCAACAGGTCATGCTACATCATGAAGCAGCCAACTACTGTTCCTAACGGAGCAATTAATCAATAATCACGATTAAATTCAACAGAAAATCAGAAAGTTGGAGGCACAGCTCAAAGACACAACGACCTCGGATGGTACGGAAGCTGAATCGGACGTGGGCGGGGCCTGTACTTGCCGTATCCCCGAAACAGACACCGTCGTCGGTCGCGCAGCCGAGTTACCATCTGACGTCAGGGATCGACGTGTTTTTAAGAAGCAGCCTAGAGGTGACGTCACAGAGGTCAAAGAGGAGAACGAGAAGTTGATTGATAAGGTGACAACACTCGAGATGAAAGTGATCGAAAAGGTAAACATTCCTTGAAATCATCCCAGTTCCGTTATCATTTAGCAATCACAGCTTGCCAATAGATAATTCGAAAATCTAAAGAGCTAATAATGTTCACTTTTTAAAAGATAGATAGATAGAAGGCATTGTTACGTAAAGGACAATCACACATAAGCTCAATATATATATATATATATATATATATATATAAAAACAAAAAACTTGAGGCTCATGATTTATTCTTCTAACTACATTGTATATTGCTCTAATTTGCCTGAATATGCCATTTTTCATAAAATTCAGATGAATTCCTAAAAAGGGGGGAAAGGAGAAGGGAGAGAGAGAGAGAGGGAGCAAAACGAAGAATAAATGGCAAACACAAAGAAAAAATGAGAAAGACCTTAGAAACTAATATCCGCATTAAGCGAATAAAGCTTTAGGCACCTTCAAAATGACGCAATTAGTCCCTCCCCTCAATGACTTGACCCAATTTCCTGATTGCTATTCTTCGTTGCCTAGGAAACCAAGAACATACGAATGGAGATCGACGTCAGTGAGATGCTTGAGAACATCCGGGGCACATCACCGGAAGCCATCAGGCATCTCCGTCGTTCCGTCGACCTCGCCCAATACCTACCCGAAGTCCAGGTCGACGAGGATGATGATCCCTCGAAGGAGGTCGCCATCAACGTCGGCGAAAGGTTGGTTGAAAACATTGAAAAATAATCACGATTATAGTTCTTTTCTCTTCTAGTAAAAAATCATCACTTTCTGATGCGCTACCAAAGAACTTTGGAAGTTATCAATTCGCCTTTTGATAGCTCTTTCAAGCGTTATCAACGCACAATCCATTTCAAGGATTTTTTTTTTACCATGCATCATAACTGATTTGGATTTTCTGGACCGAGCAGAAAAATGTATTTATCTGTCAAACTATGAAGCGCACGACAAAAGAATACTTTATGAATAATTATAAAGTTATCAAAAATGGTAAAAATTATTACCAAATTTTGTTGACTGTACTGTCGACGATGGTCCTCAATAACAATGATAAAATGATGGTTCTCCACATTATGATAACATAAGACTTTCAAAGTTTGTTCATTTATGAAGAGAAAAGATGACCTGATATTCCCCCAGCCCTTATTTTGTAAAAGATATAGGGATATAGGAGTGTTTGGGCAGGGGTTGAAATTTAGAATTTGGTTTGTGTAGTGTACTGACAATGAAACAATTATTGTCACCCGAGTATAATCATTTAACCATTGATATAGACCTTACTGATTACATTGTTCAAAAATATTTATATTCTATTTCAAAATGAAAATGTTTGTATGGTCCATCTAGTAGTTTCTCATTTCGCCCTGCAGCGTCTCGCCTTTCACACGGGCCATCCGTTCGACCCCAACCGTAGCCCACTCGTACTCAAATAGTCCGACTGCTAAGAGAGCTGCGGGTCCTAGAACACCGGCCCAGGCCCTTCGAGGACTAGGACTCCGGTCTCCCGGCCAACGGATAGGTGAGTACGCAAGTAAATTGTCACAATTCTTGAGTGAATAGTTGAAGAAAAAAAATCAACGCAGAGCTGTTATATTAGCACTGTCCCCCCGTAAATGTGCGAACAAAACAGAGACCTATACGTTATCCGAATAATAAATTGTTTCTTTTATAGCGCTAAATCCAATTTAGAACTGATCAAAGCGCTTTACAAAACAAATAAATCAATGAATTTAAAACTCCAAAAAAATAAAAATTATATAAAATGTAATTACAATGTAAATAGGTGTGTTTTAAGATGCTTCTTAAATAGTTCAGCAGACGTACTCCGGCGTAATTCACAAGGTAACCTATTCCATGTAATAGGACCACTGTAATCAAAGTAGCATTTTTTTCTACCAATGTTTCAGTAAATGTGTTTTTTATAATCAGGTTTTAAACCTGACTTTTCTACAAGTTGAATTCGTTGTACCCAATGTTTGTTTTGTTATACATTGGAATCCGATTAAAAGTTTAAAATCGAACGCCATGTCATTTTAAATTGAACAATTATATTTTTGATTTAAAAGATAAAAGTGCTATTTACAACTCTAAAAACATTGAACTTGGGAAGCTTTACTCTATTCATTGTCGTTCATGCATCTGCAGACGACCGAGCGGAATCCGCCGAAGGATCCGAACCGACGTTGGCCGATTTCAATCGAGAGCACGAACACTGCACTCGGCTTGCTTCGGAACTCGAAGCGGTGAAGAAAGAACTAGCTCGAGCAAAGAAGGAGATTGTCGGCCTGCAGTTTGGAAGTATGTGTATATTTAGCATATAGAATTAAAATGGTCCATTAGCATTATTAACCAATAACCACATAATTCTCTTGTTGATGAGTTGGAAAGTGGGAAAACTGGTCACGAATTCTAACGGATGGGACTACAATGAATTTAATTGGTACGTTAGCGCGTTACACGACCAACGAACAAACTACGTTTTGATGGGGTATTCTTAAGTTCCACCCGTAATATTCCTATTCATCCATAAAAGAAAGAAAGAAGACAAATTGGGTCGAAGAATGAGAGGAAAAAAAAGTCGAGTGTAGAGGAAGCATTAAATAAACAGAATATAATTCTTAAGTTCTCCTCACTAATCGTCCAATCCCATATGGTCTAGTGGTTAGGATCCGGCGCTCTCACCGCCGTGGCCCGGGTTCGATTCCCGGTGTGGGAATTAAGTCTTTTTTTTAAATTTTTTTATAATTATTTTATTTTATCTTTTCTGCAGATAAACTATTGAAACTATAACTCATTAGAGAAGTTTCTAATTATTAAAAATAATTGACCCTATTTTTAAGGCACCCCAGCCATCGTTCGTTCGTGTCTCCTTAGATCCAGCCATGGAACACGAACGTTGCATGGCCAGTGTGTGTGTGGCTATAACAATAAACATGCTGTAGATATAGGGTTAAAAAAATAAGAAGGAACCTTCAACGGAAAAATGTGTCTACCCAAGGGTACATATACTTCATTCTAATTTTTGATTAAAAAAATAAGAACTCTAGACAAAAATCTACATCATAAACAGATGGCCACGACTCATTTCTTTTTCTTTTCTGGTTACTTCCCCCAGCGTTTTGAATTGAATCTTTAAAAATATCGCAATGATTTGAATGACAATTATAAATAGCGCATTACGAATGTTGCGTTTTCGTGATGTAGGCCTAGAGTTGACATTGTTTTTTCTGTGCTTTTCTGGTATATATCCCCCCCTCCCCCCCCCCCCCCCCCCCCCCCCCCCCCCCCCCCCCCTCGAAGCAAAAAAAAAAAAAAAAGAGTGAGAGAAATAAAAACCAACCATCCCGCTCTCTATTTTGAATTACATACTGGTCTAGTTCCTGATCCGTTTAGTATGTATGATATGTACGTAGAATTCCCTATAGCTTGCACATGTGTAGTTGTCTGGTTGTAATTATTTCATTATTGTTTGCTCATTTATTTTATGTATATTACTTTTGTTTGTTTAACGCTTTTGAGAACCCACTCTGAGTTGAAAAACAATTTATATAATAATTATTATTATTTTGCAAGGTAATCGAACGTACGCTATTAACGCAGACAGGACTGATGACAAATCAAGTTCATCCACTTCTCAGCCAAGCATAACGAGGGTAAGATTGATTTGTATGTTTTGTGTGTGTCAGTGTGTATGTGTTTGTCTGTTTGTGTTTGTTTGTTCGTTAATTCGTCCGTTTGTTCGATAGATTGATTGATCTTTTTTTTTAATTACACAAAAATAAGAAGTTCGACGTTAACTTAACATGCTACAATGTACATTGTAGGAAATGGAATAAACGGGGTCTATAGTTATAAATGCAATTTCTTTTGATAATACTCTGTCTTTATGATTTACATTAAAGAAAGATCTTATGTCGTATACATAGATGGATCCAGTGGGGGGGGGGGGGGGATTAAATGGGTAAAAGAAGCATTTTAAAAGGAATAAAAAAGGTGTTCCTTACATTTTGGACAGTGCCGATAGGTTTCGATGGCAATAAATTTATTAGAACATTTTTCCCTTCTTACTCCCTGTATCCCCTGGTGCATCCGCCCTTTGGAAATATTGGGGTGAGGGGGGGGGGGGGTGAGGAAGAGAAATGAGGGCAATTAATGTATTGCACGGGCTTTATTCATGAACGGTACTGATCATGATGGTAATCAAGTCAGGGGGCTTTGCTTTCCCTCCTTTTCTACTTGTCTACACGATTCATTTCTTGTGATGTATACAGGGAGATGGCAAACCGGCGGAGCGCCCTCGCGAATGGCAGCGCCGCCGAAGCTCCGACCGACCACCGAAAGTCGCCAAGCTTCTTTCCAAGGTCCCTCCGTCGACGAATGCCAACAAACCAAGCGATGAGAGGACCCTGTTCGAGCAGCTGAAGTCACAGGGGCTTCACAACGCCGAGCCACGACGGAACATCAGGGTGATCAGGCAGTCGATGACCCGTAAGACCGTCACCATCGCCAGGCATGAAGTCCTGGTTGAGGAAGAAGTTGGAGGGGAAAACGAAGAAAAAGATGCAGGCGGAACCGTGGGCGGAGTCAAGGGAGAGGGGACACTGGACGACGAAGGAAACGTGGTCTCGTTTGAAGAATATGCTATAGTTGATCAGGTATAGTGGCATATCCAGGATTCTCTAGTCAGATGGGGGGGGGGGGGGGGTGGGGGTGGGGGGGTGGCAAGTTCTCTTACAAAGCAAACACAAACAAACTAACCAACAAACGAAGATTTTCAGGTGCCCTCTTTAATTCAAATTTGTTGATGAGTGGCACAATAAGTGGGCACATTATATTTGTTGTAGGCCTACTTTATGTTATCCTACTAGATATATCCTATTTTGTATAGGGGAAGGGGGCGTGCCCGTTTTTTTAAAACTGCTTCCAAACTGTGTTTGAATCATTTTAAGGGACTGGAGTTATAGTTATATGTATTTTGTTTGTATGTAATTGTGTTCGTGGTGTAACCATAGTGAATGATCATGTGATGTATTTTGTTCTTTCTCCCAGGGCATGCAAACCGATCCTGTTCTTGATCCGCTTGGAGCTTGGTCTAATATGAACTCGGTACGCATCTTATTTGAGAACAATTCAGTTCAGTTCTATTCACTTTAGTTCATTTCTTTCGGTTCAGTTGATCAGTTCAGTTATGTACGGTTCGGTTCAAGTCTGTTCAGTTCAGAGCAGATCGTATCGGTTCAATTCAGTTTAGTTTAGTTTAGTTCAGTTCAGTTCAGATCAGATCAGTTCAGTTGATTTCCATTCAATTCATTTTACTTCCATTCAATCAGTGCATTTCATTTTAGTCAGATTAGTACTTTAATATACAATGTAGTTTAGTTCAATTAATTTCCCACCTTTTCATTTCACGTCAGTTATTAAGATCAGTTCAATTCAGCGCAGTTTACGCGTGTGAGCTAAATTCAGTATACTTCAATTTAGTTTAGTTTAATTCAAGATTAGTTTAGTTTAGCTTTATTTAATCTATGCCGGTTGATATAGATGTATTACGACTGTGCATAAAATTAGTAGTTGCTGCAATTCTAATCGAGTCATTCTTCTAATTCCGCTTGACAAATACTTGATAATATAAAAATAAACATGAACAAAAAAATAAATCCGAAAAGTAATGTTTTCCCCATGTTCTCACTTGACAGTTGGATATGAAAGTCAAGGGCCCAGCGCCCCTCCAAGCACCCCGGAAGAATGGGCCCAATTCGACCCCACCCCAATCAAGGGGCCCTTGGAGAAAGGTGTCGATGTGTGTTGCTTCGTGGAGAGAGAGGTAAACATTTTTATTTTATTTATTTTTTTTTGGGGGGGGGGGTTGGTAGTGGGGGTCACAAAATCGTGAATAAGAGTTTTTTTTTTTAATTTACTTACAGTACAAATAAGTAATTATCCAGTGTTGACTCATAACATGATATCAAAAGTTAATATGATTACGCCTCTTCTCCTATGTAATTTATGATTTGTTTTGAATATATAGAAGGTAATTGTCACTTTGAAGTGGTTTAACTAGGGTAATATTGTATATCTGACAGGTTTTTTTTAATACATTAGAAAGATATTTTTGAGTCCCATCCGGTCTCTCTGCTTCCATGTTTATAGTTGAAAGATTTTGCTTAGAAACAAAATTATTTCAGATGAAATTATACTAAATTAATGGTTATTTGTGATCACTTGTGAAAAATACTGCAATGCGAATGCATGGGGTTTTATTATTATCGTTATTTTATGTTGTTTTGTTTGGGGGGGGGGGAGAGAAGGGTTGGCTATATCACATATTATCGTTGGTTACTTTATAGTTTGTTTCGCGTTATAAAGGCTCTAAATCAGCTTTTAACATCGGATAAAATCGGCAATCCTCGTTTTAGCTTTCGCGAATCATCACCGGCATCAGCGGCTTTACTTTGTACGTCAGACAGCTGCTTGACCGGGAAGTTTCGGAAATCGCGAAAAGGAACGATGAAATCCGAAGTCAGATGTCGGAAAGGTCACTTCGTAGAGTAGAGAAGGTAAAAACGCACAAAAAAACAACAAACACAAATACACATAATATCAAAACAAAACAGCAACAACAACAAACTATGAGGAGATTGGAATGAAAGATAAAATCAAATAACATAATAGTTTAAAAAATGAAGAAAGTTTTATCATTAATTATTAAGAACAAAAATAGGTTATTGAAGGTAAGATTAAAATTGAAATTACTTATTAATTCAATTCAATGCAATTTCAATTCAAATTATCAATGACAAGATGAAAAAAACTTGTATTAGAATATTGAAAAGAAGAAATAAGGAATGGTCCATATTTCACATGCTTCGATGACATTTTGCTTAGTGTTTTATTTCATCAGAGATTGGGGGGGGGGGGCTAGAATTTTTTTTTTTTAGTTTAAGATAAAGATCTGGACTGGGGTATCCCGTCATTGTTTTTAAAAAAAATATTCCGCGGATCACTTTATAGTCAGAGTTTGACTTTGTGTCGTAAATTTTGATATCATTATAATTCACATTCCCGAGCAATGATGTGCATAATTCTTTTATTATTTAATAATGACTATTATAATTGTGGCATACTAATTTATTTAAGAAAGTGATATAATCGTGATTGTATCATGTACAGCGCCATGAACGTCAGAGCCTAGCAGATACTGGCGCTATAATATACATATCATTTGCTGCTTGTAAGTATCGGCTTGCATGGTGATGTAGATAAGATTATACAGTAGTCCTGAAAGATTACCGAGAGTCCTTTTCAGGACTCCTCAATCGTCCCTCTCTCTCACATGGTGCATCCGCAAGCCTATTGTATATACATATTATTATTATTAATCGGCAGATGGCCTGTGGTAACGAACAACCGGGCGATCACGACACCAGCCTGAATGGAAAGCCGACCGTTCCGCCGATAAGGAGAGGTCGATTCGAGCTCGTACGAGATGACAACCAAACATCAAACTTCGCCAACCGGGTCGCCTTCGCCAGCTACACCACGGGAAGAAGGTAAAGCAATTGAGATCACTGATGTAGCTAGGCGGGAATAAACTCCCCCTCCCCCCTTACAAAATAAAAAGGACAGATGCAAAGAGAGAGAGAGAGAGGGAGAGAGAGAGAGAGAGAGAGAGAAGGACAGTAAAATGTAGAGAGAACATAGGGAAAGAGAGAGGGAGAAATATAAACATATAGAAAGAAAGAGAGAGAGGTGGGAGAAAAGAGGGGAAACAGAGAGAGGCAGTTAGAAAAAGAGACATAGATCAGTTTTAAAAAGAGATGAAGAAAGAGAAAAAGGGGTAGGGCAGATAAACAGGAAAAGGGAGAGTGAGATGAAAAAAAGTGAAATCTTGAGCCCATCTAAGTTTGTGCACAGGCCTGATATGCTTGAGCGCTAGTTACTTTGGCAGCTCGACTACGACCAGGATAATATTATGTGTAAAGCGCCATGAGCGTCAGAGCAGGGCATGTGAGTTAAAGTCTCACCTCCCTGGTCAGAGCATGACGGATACCGGCGCTATATAAATAACCATATTATTATTCGAGAAAAAGAATAAGATTGTTCAGGTTAAACACTTCAAATGAAATCTTCCTGGATAATCTAAATTAAGTGTCTTTGAAATATTACATTTCTTCCTTTCTTCGTCTTTACAGAACAAGTGTAATCCAAGAAACAGAGACTGCATCAAAATCGGCAACTTCGGATGTGGGTAAGAAAATTATCAGTCAGGTCATAGCGCATAACGGGATTCGTAATTACTTGTGTAGGTAATCATTTATGAGTTTTTTGTTTTTAATATTAATTCCAATATCACGTTCAAGTCATTGAATGTTTAGACACAAATGCAATAACGATGACGGACAGAAATGAAGCTTAAAGATAAAGATGAGTTATGGTCATGCGATTGCATTGTGAAAGAAAAGGTGTGGAATAGATCAGAAACAGTTGATCATGTAGCATGTAAGTATTGGTATGCACTGCAAGGTTCTGGAGTCATCAAAATCATAATAAATTTGGCCTAGTCTTGGTAAAGTAACAAGCACTGTAAACAGAAAGCTATATATGGGACAACACACATGGTGTCGGGGCTAGTACTACCTTGATTTCCTTGTCTTTCTATGCTCATTACTCAGCCAATATACATTTTCTTCGAAAATTGTTTGGCACATGTCATTTATTTGTAATCTTGAACATTCAGTGTAAGCTTCGTTTGATTCTGTGAGAATTAATTTTCTTTTTTTTTTTTTAACCAGAACTGGATTTTATCTTTAAATTTCATATTATTCTCATCCGCTGCCTCGTCAAATTAGCGGACTTCTATCGGCTCTTCCTACCAATCATGAAACACCTCCACGGCTCAGACGCAGAAGCTCAACGCCGATTGGACGACGAATTGAGTGACGCGAAACGAACGATGACGTCATGCCAGCGATGGAACATCGAAGCCGAACTGATAGGGAAGCACGCCACCGACGTTCTGAAAGGGATATGCGATTTCTTTAGATATACGGTGGACAAACAAGTAAGTTTTGGGGAAGCGTCCGAAAATTTAAATAGATAGGGAACATTATAATCAGAAAGCTTAAAGATTTTACTTGAAATCAATCAAGATAGATTTTCTTTTTATGCTCGAGAATCTGTTGGTATTCTAAATAATGAATGTGCCATATGCTGCATGGAAAGTGATGCAAAAACAATTTCTTTAAAAAAAATATATTGCATAGTACTTTTAAACAACTGTTGAGAACTACACTGCAATAAAAACGATCATGTGTTTCTCTGTTGTGAATCTTTTTCCTTACCGTCTCTCACCCCTTTATCTCTATCTATATCTCTCTCACTCTCTATCTCTTCTCTTCTTTCCCTTTTTTCTTCTCACTACTTCCCTGTCACCATGTTTCTTTCGCCCAAGCCCCCCCCCCCCCCCCCCCCCCTTGTCTCGTGCTCCATCTCTCTCAATCCCTTCTCTCTCTGTCTCCCACAACTCCCTTCATCCTCTCGGATCTCCCCACCCTCCTCTCTCTCTCTCTCTCTCTCTCTCTCTTTCCTAACTCCCCCCTGATAGACCCAAGAACACGAATTCTTGACAAAGGGGCTGAAAATGAAGGAAGAACTTGAGCACGCTTTCAGAGGAGGCTTGGTAAGCTAGAAAATGAAAATTGACTATACATAAATAATCCATCTAAAGAGAAAATGAGGATGATTTCATAGAGCATTAGTTCCACTGATCTCCCGTTAAAAATATAGTATTTTGATTTATCTCTTTTGAGTCCTTTTGATGCCTCCCGCACAAAATGTTGCGTTTTGAAATGCAAATTAATGAAGGTGCTAAATTTGCAAAAAGATATTTCTGTTATCTTATAGTATATAGAAAATAAATACGATGACGTCTACATAATTATTTATGCAGTTGGTTGTGGTTAACTTTTTGATGGTTGGATGTATCATTTTTCTCTTCATGATTTTCACTGTTTTATTTTCAGCCTCACGATATATCTTTGAAAGTCAAGCGATCATTGTCTCAAAGTGACTTCCTCGAGGTATGTAGGCATTTCATTATACATGTACATTTCCTATATTTGTGGAAAATAACGTTTTTTAATTATATTGACAAAATTATATTGCGGCTGTCAATTTTACATTATGATTTCAAATACCTTCAATAGATTGAAAATATTGCACATGAATGCATACATTAATATAAGTATAATGCTACTGCTGCTGCTGATGATTGAGGATCATCATTATCATTATTATTATCATCCTCATTATCATCATCATCGTCACCATCTTCACCATCATTACGATTCAACCTTCATGGCGTTGTTTCAACTTGTATATCTTCCTATCTACTCTCACACCATCTCCCTGCATGTGTCACTATCTCTCTGTCTCTTTTTCTTTTTCTCCCTTTCTCCTCTCCTCGTTCCCTCTTCTCTCTCTATCTCTCTCTCTCTCTCTAGGCCGGCCACGCCCTCTCAGGAAAGGGACTCCACGTACCTGCCATTCCTGTTCAATCCAAGTCCCTCAGCAGTATAGAGGTAAGCTTCAAATCCAGACCACTCAATTTAGAGGGGGGTGGGGGTTCCTTCCACGCTTGTTTCAAAAAGGAAAATAAATGTTAAAGGAAAAACAAGAAATGAGGTCTTTTCAAAGAGGTGGTCCTACTCTACAGGTGGTCACTAAAATCAGCTTTAGTGTATATGGGTAGCAGTAGAATTAAAAGTAAGATTCTGAAAGATACTCTTCCTTCCAACCTCCACTTTCTCGCCTTTCTATTTTCACTTCTATTTTCTATCCACTTTCCTTAGTCCTTCTAGGACTTTACACATGGTGTACCGTAAACCTCTACCGTGATTATTCATACCACCATGCAAACCTTCAAACATCATCTAAAAGTAAGATGTATGATTTAACTTTTATGAAGCGAAACGCGTATAGTAGTCGTATTGCTTTAACTTTAAAATACCTAAACTACATAGTGACATGTAATTTTTATCAAAATATTTATTAATTATCTGAAATCACGGAGACTTTAAATCAAAAACCTTTTGATACTTTATGTGCGATGGGTTTAAGTCTCGTAAATACTGATTAATATTACAACTAATTCCCATTTCATTTTTCTGGGTATTTCGTTATCCATACTCTAAAGAGCTCACATCGGTATCTGCCATCCCTGATGATCCCTCGGCCCGCCGCCGCGCCGACCAACCGTGATGAGATGGTAGCAGCTAAGACAGTCCTGCCTCGGAAGGGAATGGTGCGGCTACAAGCCATTGCAGCCCCGGAGAAGGATAACAAGACTGCTGGTAACTAATTAGTTTTAATTCTGCTTCTGTTTATCCTTTTCTTCATCTTACTTCTTCTTTCTATTTTCTCATTTCTACTCTCTATTTTCATTTTTTTTATTTTTTACTTTTTATTTTTTACTTTTTACTTATTACCTTTTACTTTTTACTTTTTACTTTTTATTTTTTACCTTTTACTTTTTAGTTTTTACTTTTTACTTTTTACTTTATACCTTTTACCTTTCTACTTTTTACTTTTTGCTTTTTACTTTTTACTTTTTATTTTTTACCTTTTACTTTTTACTTTTTACTTTTTTACTTTTTACCTTTTACATTGATTCTGAACATCATATTTCAAAATCACACGTTCACTCCTCTTGTGTCAATCAATACAGATAAAAAGAGGGGGCACCGCCCTGCGCCCCAGAACCACCGCAAGCTCGTTACTAAGCAGAAAAACGCCGTACGGAGGGCAAGCGATGCTACCGGAGAAGAGGCCAAGGAACCCGCTACGCTAAACCAGTTTCTACTCGAGCTCGAGGTTAACATGTTTGTTTCTTTGTTTGTTGTTTCTTTTTGTGTTTCTTTGTTTGTTTCTTTTTTTTTCTTTTAAAGGTGAAGACCAGTTTTGGAAACGCCCCCCTCTCAAAAATGAAATGGAAGCTCTTATTACCAATCATATTGTGAAAGAATATGTTTTGACTAATACATGATGATAATAATTTTGCCGGGAAACCGCCTACTAATTGATATATTTAGTAAATTAGTTTATCTCTTGGGACCAAATAGATAACACGCACGTGTCATGCACGGATGCGTAGTCCCATATACATCTTTCTGTGTACAGTGCCTGTAACTTTACGAAGACTGGGCCAAATTTCTTATCATTTTGATGATTCCAGAACCTTGCAGTAGGCTACACACCAATACTTATATGCTAGATGATCAACCTTTTCTGATCGATTCCACAACGTTTCTTTCACAATGCAATCGCATGACCAGAACTGGTCTTTACCGTCTTTATCTTTAATATCTTAGCATTCCAGTTCAGTACCATGGTCTAGTGGATTCATTGCCAGACTATTAATCAAATGGTTCGTTTTTCGCTTCCCTGCCTCGAGAAAAAATAAAGTGGAAAACAAATAATGTTATTCTTATTCTTTAAAAAAAAAAAAAAATCGTTCTAGGAACCTGAAGGTGTGCCACCCCGTAAACGTTTGCATCGGGGAAAAGGGGCTATTCCCAAACATGTCAACAAGAAGATCATAGGCACTTCAGATCAGCGAACCATTTCCGGAGTCATACAAGCCGCAAAACGGCAACTCAACGCCGGAGAACTGCGGGGAAAAACGCTGACTGTTTTCTCGGACTGATCCGTCTGTTGCCAATTTGCCAATCAACCGTCGCTTACTTATTTTTCGTTAAAATGATGTATATAACCCATTTTTGCAAAAAAAAAGTGTATATTAAAAAAAACTGTAGAAACTAAACATTGCGTTTTCTCATTGTGATTTCTTTGTAACGTGAAAGGGTGTTTTTGCACTAATACAGGAAGTTTTGTCTATGAGACCTTTTTTACAAATACAATGAAAAGTAATGTTTGAAACGCTCTATTTATTGTGATAATTTAGTCATCAGGGGGAATTGAAAAGGGGATACAATTTAAACACCAAAATAATGCTTTTTAATAATAAGGAAAGAGGAAGAAAGAGCGAGGAAATATATTGAGATAAAGAGACAGAGAGAGAGAGAGAGAGAGAGGGGCTAGATGGTTAGAAGATATGTGATCTTTAAATTGAAACAAAAATATAAATATAGGGAAGGATAATGATAGAGTGAAAGAAGGGAGCTGCACCCCCCCCCCCCGCAAAAATAATTTGAATGCTTTCTGAAATTTTGCGAAATCATGAAATGAAAAATCATTTTGAATTAATTATGCATATTTCAATAAGAGATAATTGTAATGAACAAAAAGAAAGGTAAGGAGGCACATTATTTATCTCTGCGTCAGGAACTCCGGCTTATCTCTTAATCCGGATGCAAAGTTCTTTGAAGAACGGATTTATTCGCTAATATAGATACCGTACCGAAGGTTAGGTTATTTCTACAAATATTACATGGCATTGAGAAGTTATGTCATAAGCGATTGTTCTCAGTATTGAAGCACAGATGAAGATCACAATTCGTCATTGCCTTCACTATTCTTTTGGCAAGTGACTCGTCGTAGTGGTAAGTCTTCATATTGTATTCTTTGAAGAAAGATAATATTGAAATTGCTAAAGATATCATTGGTTTTTAACAAAAATGTAAAAGAGTATAGCAATATACAGAGTAGCATATAAATATTACAGTATTATTTAAAGAGTTGAATTTCATTTTCAGTTATAGTTTATTGCTAAATATTTCATGTATAACTACGACAATTCTTCAAAACAAAATTAATGTTGAATTGATTTATAGGTAAATTACGTTACCTCTTTGACTATAATGGCATCAGTATCATCGTAAACTTCTATCATCATCATCATCATCATCACATCACAAACACCATCAACATTATCATCATCATCATCATCATCATCATCACAATTACCATCATCATCCTACTCCTGCTCCTACTCAACATCATCACCGTCATCATCATCATCGTCGTCAATAGCTTTGTTATCGCGACAAACATTTTCAGGTCAAAAGAAAAGTACTGGTTCCTGAATGTTTTGCCTCTGCATTCAAGGATAAACAATTATTTCTAACATTCTATCATAAATATCATATTTTCACCAAAGCATGATGTTCCGTATAACCAAAGTGTTATAATTTTTCCAAACAATTCAAATTCATTTTATAAGTCTGTTGACATTGATGTCATGATGGTTGATGGTTAGGTTGTTTTCACTTGAATGCTAAGAAAAGATATTTATGATTGTCGGTATAAGCAGCCTGGGACCGATGGCTTTAAGTCATCTCCGAGGGACTTGGTAATAAGGATTAATGCCTTACCAAATGGCATAAGAACATTATTTCACATTTACAATTTTAAAGGCATGAGATATAGGCCAATTTCAAATCAAAATTAACATAGTTGCAAAAATAAGTATATCAGTGATAATTAATCATACCCTAACAACCTTGCATACCTACTCTATATCCTAAGTGATATAATTTAATCAGTTTAATCCGATTAGGACTATGATACAAATTAAACACGTTTTTAGCTTTTGGATAGATAAGCAACACCTGTCGACATTAACTTTTGTACGCTTAGGATAGGAGTGCACATGGTCGAGACGATATTTAAAGAGCAATCCAATCCTTGTATAATATGTTCTTTTGTATGGATGCGGCAAAAATGAGATTAACAGAATGGCGAATGTTTGAAATTAATCGGACAAATAATAAGAAAGTTATCAATGTTTGAAATATGAAATCACTAAGTCCATGCGAATTTCGAATGGGCAGTTTGGTCTGTAGATGGGGACATAGCTGCAGATAACTCTCCCGTTTGTCGTGTACAAAAATATAATTAATTTTTGTTCTTCTCCTAAGTGCTTTCTTCCTTTGGGCGCTATACTAAATATATATTATGAATAGCATATCACTATAGGCCCTCAATAGAGAAAAGGCCCTTTATTTTTGAAAAATAGAATTTTTAGCCCTGTTGTGTGTTTGAACAAATATGAAAGTTATCTGCCACTACATCAGAGAAATTCCGATTTAGCCAATTTGAGGTGCCCCTACCTATAGTATAAGGATTACAACTTTTTAAAATGATTACTTTCTTATCTTTTGTCCGATTTCGTTCAAAATGTCACCAAACTGCTTCTTTGACTTTCTTGCTTTCCTAGAGTTGTTTGCTTTTCCCTTTAAGGTTGGTTTTCCCTTTAAAAACGTCTTAGTTACAAGTGTATGTCATAATCCTTTCAACATGGAGACATGCATTTAAAGGAGGAAACGAAGATCACTTTTCCATATTTCTTATCAGCAGTGTGTGGGTAACATGATAACTTAGAAGTACATGTTACGCCATTAACAGACATTTATTCTCTCAAAAGTAACCACACCATGATGATAATAATAATAATAGTAATAATGAAAATAATAAATTATAATAATTATTGCATATCTAGCCCCTCTTCCAGAGGATACGAGGCTCTGTCCCGTAGTCTACGAGTTGATTATTACGAAGAATTGTAGATGTATGGAACAGACGTAATGAAGCAAGGTCACAGCTGTGCCTTCTTATGTTGGCCTACGTCAGTCATAGAAATAACCAATATTCAAACAAAAGATTCATTCCTTTACGTAATAACACTTTTATCTTCAACCAATACACCTAGTTCTCCATGGCAACGAGTAGCGCATTGTTCGCCTGTCTGGCAGCATACGTGTTGATTGTGACGACGTCATCACTCCCTGTTGATGACGTAAGCCATGATTCGTCTCCCAACATTCTCAACTATCTCGGTGTCGGCTACAACATTCTCACAGGTATGGATAGAGAGAGGTGAAGATACAACAAGAGAGAGAAAGAGAGATAGAGAGAGAGAGAGAGAAAGAGAGAGAGAAAGAGAAAGAAAGAGAGAGAGAGAGAGAGAGAGAGAAAAAAAAAAGAAAGAAAGAAACTTGAGTCTTTCAATTAAATTAAATTAAATTCGGACTGTTGGAGAAACGCAAATGCATTGTTGGAGATTATCGGGAATAGCTTTGTCCCTCGGCTTCGTCTCGAGGCCCAGTACAGTTTCGAGACACCTCGGGCAATACTTTTAACTATGCCCCTTAAAGCAGTCTCATCAACTTTCCATCAATCATTTGCCAATAGGCAACCCGGATGGCGGTGACGTCACCAATGGTGGAGTCGACCCGGGTCTGATGGTGACGCGACGAATCCTGGACCTGACGTACCACAACGGCGAGCTCTCATTGGACAGTCAGTATCAGGTGCCTGATCAGGTGACATTTGTACCCCGTGACAGCTGCAAGCACGACAGTCGGCTGTTCCATAGTGCAAGGACGTACCAGGAGAAACTTGCCCGAGATGTTGATTTGGATGGTAAGGGCAACTTCTCGAGTTTAAGCAAACATTTTTTATTAATCGTGTAGTTCTTTAATTTCATTTATAAAATGAATATGTATGATCATTATCTATGATAAATCGGATTTGCGCCACATATTTAAGAATGAATTATTTAACTCATTAAAAATATTGGATCAGTGTTTTCTGCAAAAAGCCGATATCATGATAATGTGGAAGACATTATTTACAAGCCCAAAACCATTTAATATCTTCAGTAGATAGTTGATAGTTTAATAAGGCTTTGAAAAAGAAAAAGAAATGGTCTCATTAATGGAAGAAAATGTGGATTTGATCACCCTTTGTCTTGTTGCATTATTCACAGATGATCTGAGGAAGTTCTTTGCCGGTTACGAGTTTTCAAAGAGTGGACGTAAGTTATTATCAAAACTCTTTTCTTTTGACGCAAAGCATTTTAAAACTATCATTTGCAATGTTGGTCTTTGATCATTTTGACGTCAAACCTGCCTTGCGTGATTGCATCTAGGAAAGTCAAAATACAGAATGCAAAACGTGGAATGTATTAAATTGCTTTGGATAAACTTCATTAATCGAACTTATAATAGTCTATGCTTACATTAAAATCTGTCAAAGATTTATAAATACCCCAACGCTCGTTTGCCTGACGTGCCTGACGTACGACTATGTCAGCGGATAGCGTGGCCTTTGGCGCACCATGGCAGTGAATTGCGACATAATCACCAACGTTCGTTGCACACATTGCGTCAATAGGGACTTTTAGATTGAGTGGACGAGAACACGACGAACGCCGACTGTTCATGCGTGTCAACGTACTTAACTGCCCATGTTGACTACAATTAGAAATCTTTTAGATTGCACTCGACGATATACATGCATGCAGGAAGTAACACTATGAACATCACGGACAAAGAAAGAGGACAAAATATACAGTTCCTCATTCTACCCATAACAAAAGAACATCCCTTCACTGCTATTAATATGTAAAAATGTGTAGAACAGGTGAATATGCATGTGACACCTGTTCTACACATTTTTACATAGCAGGAAAGGGATTTTCCTTTGTCTACCTGAGGAACTGTATATTCTATGCGCACGCAGCATACTAGTACCTTGAGCATGTAAAGGCGCTATGTATGTACTAGATTTAGGAAAATCAAGGTTGACGCATTCTCGATCGCCGACTGAGACGACGTAACGCATGCGCAGTGCCTTAAAATGACGTCACACCACTGGCGTACCTATGGGGGGGGGCAGGGGGGCAGAGTGCCCCCCTGACGGGCTCCAGGGGAAAAAAAGAAAAAGGGGAGAGAAAAGAAAAGAAAGGAAAGGAAAGAAAAAGAAAAAAGGAAAAGGGAAGAAAAAAGGAGAGAAAGAGAAAAAAGGAAAAAAAAGGAAAGAAAAAAGGAAGAAGAAGGGAAAAGGAATAAAAAGGGAAAAGAAAAGGAAAGGAATAAAAATGGGGAAATTAAAAAAAAAAGACCATGGCCGTACGCACCAGGGGGGGGGGGGGGGCAGTTGACCCCAGATATTTTGAAAACGTACAGTTTTTTCCTGAAAATGTAGTGTAGGCCTATACCAAATCCTTCAATTCTACTTTTGAAAATGCAAAAGTACCCTCATGACCAGTTCGGTCGCTCGAACTCCCTTCACTCCTTTTGCTTTTGAGATTCTTCGAAAACTTTTAACGCATCTTTCCCCATCCCCCACCAGAAAAATATTCCGCATACGGCCCTGAAAAATTAAAACAAATGAAAATAGGAAAATATAAGTGATATAACAAATTCGAAACTCTTCGCTGGCGCGAACTGCTTGCTAGCCTATTTTGTATTAAATGTTTTCACTTGCTCGTCCCCCTGAAAAAAGAAAAGGATTAGTATTGCCTAGAATACAATTGTGCCTGCCCCGACGGGCCCCGATCTGCAACCATAGCAACAATAACACACAATATATGTACCAAATGTTACTAAAAGAGACTAATTCATTTTTCTCGCTCGCTCCACTCGCTTGCGAATAAAATGAATAGACATTGCTTTGGAAACAATTGTGCCCACCCTTGACCTGCAGCAATATCATTAAAAATGAAAGAGTTTTTTCGCCCTCTCGCCAAAAGGGAATTGAATCGCGTTAAACCCGATTGCGTCCATCCTGACCTGCACCAATAAAAACAAGTTTATTTATTAATTTCTATTAAAAGAGAATTTTTTTTTTTTGCTTGCTCGCTATGCTCGCTCGCCAAAATGGAATTGACACCGCTAACGTGCCCGCCCCAACCTGCAACAACCAGTTAATAATTATGTACCAAACGTTATTCAAAGAAGTTTTGGTGTGTTCGTGCTCGCCAAAACGGAATTAACATCACCTTAGACATGATTGTGTAAGCCCTGCCCTGCAACAAAAAAAATCTGAAATTTATGAACCAATTATCATTACAAAAATTTTGCTCGCTCGCTACGCTCGCTCGCCAAAATAGAAATAACACCGCTTTTAATAATCACGTCCCTGACATGGAACAATGAACCCAAGTTTATATACCATATTTCCCTATAAAAGAGAAGTGATTTTTTTTGCTCGCTCGCCAAAATAGAAATAACACCGCTTTTAATAATCACGTCCCTGACATGGAACAATGAACCCAAGTTTATATACCATATTTTCCCTATAAAAGAGAAGTGATTTTTTTTTTCGCTCGCTACGCTCGCTAGCTCGTGGAATTATGTGCCCACCACTAACCTGCTACAATATCATTAAAAAGAGGAATGTAGGGGGTTGCCTGCCCGCCAAAATGGGATTGACATTGCCTTTAACACGATTGTGCCCGCCCCCTACCTGCAACAATGAAACAAATTTTATATAGCAATTCATTGAGAGAAAGATGTATTTTCGCTCGCTAGCTAAAATTGGTATAAAATCACCCTAAACACAATATTGTTCCCGCGCCCTGCATGGGACAATTGAACCAAGTTTAAGTGGCAATTATAAAAAAAGAAGTGATTTTTTTTCTTGCTCGCTACACTCGTTTGCAAAAAAATGAAATTAACGTCGCTAACAAGTGAATGTTCCCACCCCCAACTTGCAACAATACCAGTTTATATACCAAACGTTCCTTAAAGATTTTTTTTGCTCGCTCGCTCGCCAGAAGTGAAAATTAGCATCGCCTTTTTTGTTTGTTTCGGTCGCTTGACCCCCCCCCCCCCCCCCTGACGGAGTACCCCAGGTACGCCACTGCGTCACACGTTGCAGTCAAAGCTGTTGACGTGCAAATCTAAAAGTCCCTAATAATTGCCTGATGTGCCTGAGTAGCCTGACGTACTACTATGTCAGCGGATAGCGTGACAAACAGCAAACTTCGCTGCACACGAAACGTAATTTTCCTGACTTACGACTATGACACTCAGCGGATAGCGCCTTTGACGTGCTATGGGAGTGAGACATACAGCAGCGTTCGTTGCACACGAAGCATCATTTGCCGGACGTGCCTGACATACGACAATGTCAGCGGACAGCGTGACCTTTGACTTTAGGTAATAATCTTCTTTCATATAGAGGTGCCGCAGTCAAGTGAATATGTGTTCGGATGATTATAAATCACAAGATATACCGGTTCGACTCCCTATTACCATGATTACAACTAACATCCTTTTGCAAGACATTAATCTACATTTGTCATTTTATACCATCTCTACTCAAGACATGTGAGCATATCTTTTAAAAATGAACAAACCTTTGTTCATTATTTGGTATGTGCCTGAGTGAGAGGTTTATTATTTGAAATCAAAGGTAAGCTTTGGTAACGTGTAAAAAGGGTATTGAAGATCACCATGACTATTTGCAAATGAATATAATGCTGAGCAAACATGAACTTTTAATCAAAATAATGAACAAAAATATGTTAATTTTTAACAGATATACTGCCACTCTATCATCGTGTGTACCCAGTAGGAAGAATTTCTTAAATGAATTAGCATTTGTCATGGTAATTCGGTTCAAGCCGGAAAAATGATATGATACTTTTCAAAGCACCGTGCAGTACTTGCGCTTAATTAATGGATCATATTGTAATTATCATTATCGTTATATTCATCTTTCAGGATATGAAACTATCCGAGACGCAGCTGACACAACCAACTATGTATACTACGAAGAGAGATCCGTCTGTTATAGAGGCGGGGCGCGATACAAGGATGAATTGGCGGGAAGCGACCGATACCCACTATCTAGATCGTTTGTCGTTGACGCCTGCGCTCTCCCCGTGGACTTTAAACTCGCGGAATATATGTTATTCTTACAAGAATGGGGAACCGTGAGTATAAAAAATGTTATTTATTAAGACTTAATTGTAATAAAGGATTTAGGGAGCACAATCAGCCCTTACCCCGTTTTAAAACCAAATTGGCATACCTAAAAGTATAACGATAATTGTCAAAACATGTTTTGCTCTTGATGTAAAGGGTTCCGCGTTTCTATACTGTATTCAAAATATATTCTTTAAATATTGTCTCTACAAAGAGATGATGCAAATTAAAATAAAATTCTCAGTAAACTGAAAAAGACTTTTTGAGTAGACTCGACTAGTAGACGTATGCAATGTGCTCGCATAGAATAGGGTGCACACGGAGCCAAGTGGCACTTTGGTTCCTTGCGCGGGTTTTTTTTTTTTCATACTCCTTAATAATCGTGAACATTTACAGAATGCCGGGTTAAACCCAATATTTTCAGGTATACGATTGTCCCCTAAATTGTGCAATTTTCAGAATCGTGTCCCCATTTTGTAATACAAAAATCCTGGATCCGATCCTCAATGGTTTGCTTTAAATTTTAAATACAGCCACGGATTACTTCTCGCATATTGATGGACTCTAATTCATAATAATTATCTTTGTCATTACAGGGTGTGATCGTCGAAGTCGAGGTCGGTACAAAGAATGTCAAGCGTTTCAGATCACGCGACGTCGACTTTGTGAAACACGTCAGTGAGAAGGTATACTAAACAAAGTTTCTCTCCATGTAATGTGTTATGGCCTTTCAGCGAGCAAACAATTCAGTTAACCATCCATCTGTGCATATTAAACACACATAGAGCGACTGAACTATGTTCCAAACAAACTATATTTTAACGGTAACATTGGGGTAGTGAGCACTAATTTTTGTTGGGGGCCCTCGAAAATTTGAAAAATCTTACCTCCTTCCTTTGAGCGCCAGGGGGGGGGGGATTTAAAAAAAGGGGTAAAATTAAGGTGTTTTTACACGTTTTTTTCCCAAGGGGGGGGCCGCTCCCCCCCCCCCTGGATCCGCCACCGCTAAGATATATAACCCAACTAAACTATTTATCTGGGGTAGTATATACGAGGTTGTTAGTTCAGAAGATAAAAGTTGTCCATGGACGGTGGTCTCTAGGGGGTAGTTGTCCGAGATTCCTTGAAATCCATCGATATGGGTCATTGTTATACTAAAAAAATACATTGAATTTAAACATCCTTAATGTCTGTTGAACACGGGCGTTATTTACTGACGGAGGACTGCGTCAACGATTGACGCAGTCTTTGACGCCCGTGTGAGAGTGAAATAGTAAAAATGTAATGCAATAACGAGAAGTACAGACATTTTGATGAATTACTGGCGAATGTATTACATTGCTCTCATCGGCATGATTAGCGTAGGTAAAAATGCAATAAATAAATTATAACGCATCGTGTACAACGGGCATTAATGATATGAAAGAGATGAACGGTGCTACAATCTCGCAAAATAGAAAACGAATACAGACTTACTGAAGCTTTTGGGCTTGTAAGTTGTAACCATCTACTTTTTGTTGATTCTTGCGATTTACTCTGATAAGTGCAACACAAAAAACACTTCAGTAGCCCCCCCCCCCCCGCCCTCCCTAATTAGTATTCGTTGCTTTTCTTCAGTTTTTATATTATTAACGTTAGGCAATTTTTGGACAGTCTCATTGATTTGCCCAATATTTTAATTTGTGAAAATCATATTTCTGCAATTTACTCTCTAGTACCCGGAAACACTACAATCTGGCGGGGCCTTCATGGGTTATTCAAGCTCTGTGGTTGTCGATATGAAGGCCCTCTCGACCAAGCTCGGTGGTTCGGACTTCTTCGGTGAGCACTCGGAGGCGCTTCGTATCGGTGGGAATGACCTGCTGGAACCAACCCATGTCAAGATTATAGGGATTCATGAGGTAGGCGTACGACATAGAAAAAAAACTTGAGTTGTTAGCTTGTGTTTTTGGATAAATGTAGAAAGGATGTTATTAGGGGCATTCACAGTTTAGAGTAAAGATATATCGACTGCTGTGAGAGGCCTGGCTGTTTTATAGGCTCAAGGGGACGTTACATCCTGCATCTCGGTCCTCGAGTGCCGACAGCCAGGCCTCGAATATTAAAGCTGTCGATATGTCTTTTATATACCGAATTGACACAATTCTTACCTTATCCTTTTTTTTAAAGTAAAGATTGATTAAAACATCACGGAAAATCTGAGACACTGTCTGTAAATCTTTGCTGGAAAGATGACTGAATTTTACAATCATTTGGGAAGCGCAGACAAAAAGCACTGTATGGTATCCGCGCTCGCACTTTGCCATTGTGTCTGATGTACGAATTTGACATTTTGAATTCACTAGTACCCGTTTGCCAACATTATTCCTGATCTTTAACAGATTTTTACAGACGTCTACTGGAAGTTGTTCGATGATTACGTAGCAGAGGGGCTTTGTGACGTCACTTTCAAGACCCGGATGGCCGAGGTCCGCAGTAATGTCCGACATGCACTGGAACGGTTCGCCACTTGGGCAAATGCAAATCTGGCAGATGGTGAATGATTCAGCATGTTCAGCACATCAAATAATTCCATTGCCACCGTGTTCATTATCAATTCAACTATCATTATCATCGTTATCATCATCATTATAATCGGCCTAATCACAATTATCTTCGTTAAACCTGTGTTAAACCAAATATTGACTTTAGACCATTTGGGGAGGGGGGAGGGGGTAAGGAGACTTCGGTCTTAATCGATGAATGAAATACGAATTATGAAATGCATTGATTATGAGGGGATGAATATAGGAAGGGTCGTAGCAACCTCTCCCTCTTCTCTCATTTTCTTCTCTCTCTCTCTCTCTCTCTCTCTTCTCTATAATTGTTCGTCATTCGATGATAATGGGGAGGGGGTGGGCACGTGTCATCGTGCCCATGTAGGTACACCAAGGTATCTCATGTCTAACCCTCTCCAATTCCTGATTTGTTTTGTTTATATTTCAGACCCTCAGATCCAAGTTCCTCTGACGTGGCCGTATAGGACCTACACCCTCCCCATGCCTCAGATCGGATGCCCTGTCGCACATTTCTACTGGAGAACAGGTAAATTGTTATAAAGTAGGCTTACGGTTACCAGTGGCGTAGCCAGAGCTTGATGTTTGGGGGGGCACATACATTTAGTTGATCAATGTCCTGGGGAGGGGACTAAGAGGAGGGGTGTCTCCCTTCCCTTTGGAAATGTTTTGCCTATTTAAAAGGGTGAAGATGCAAAATCATGTTTTTTGACATAAATTCACTCTAATGTCGATGTCATTTTATCATAAAAACGGAATTTCAAAATCACGATCAGCTCATTCAAGCATGTATCTCATCTGTACAAATGCACGGCAACTATATTATATGAGTAGGAATTTCTTCCTGACATCTTTTATATAAGCACCACAGTGGTCTGGTGGTACCACGTCATCTCCCATTTTGACAGTGAGTTTCCTTAGCTACCTTTGCCAATATGATGGTATACAGTGATGGAAAAGAAAATACGATCTCACCTGTTCGTATATCTTCGTGTGTCCGCTTAGAAGAGTTGAATCCTTGTTCTCTGTTCCCGCTGCGAAAACTTCTTCAGCACCTCCACTGGATTAGTTTGTAACTCCTTACTTCTTTCACCGGACACATAAATAACTCCAAGATCAGAGAGCCGTTGATTTCTCATTGTACTCCATAAATAGTTCTTGATATACTTCATTGCAGAGAAACTTCTCTCGCATACAGCCGAAGAAACCGGTAATGTCAAAGCCAACTGGGTCGTTTTCCGCAGATTGGGTAAACTAGCCGAGGGTATCAACTTTTCCATGCTGGAAAAGCTATTTGCATTGTGCCTTCTAGATGAATCGGGGGTGCTGGAGTCCTTCTGTTTATTGCTGATGATTTGTCTGGCCATTGTCATTTCAGCCTTCAGTAGCTGAACGTCCACATCCAGAGAATCTGTGTATAGTTCAACAAAGGGTTCGACGGCAGAGAATTTGAGGAAGTTGACAGAGGAAGGTGTCAGTAGCGCGTCAACACCTTGCATGATTGCAATGTTGGATGCAGAGAAACGCCTGGTCATCTCAGATTTGAATGCATCCAGTATAGGGAGAAAGGTGTTGACACGAAGGTCATCAAGGAACTCAGCACTTGACTCAGCCTCTGATTGACTCCGATGACCAGTCGAAGCCATGAGGAAACTATCATCAAAGGTTCGTTGCTTCCTCCGGCGCTTTGGTTGCGGCACTGTAGGGATGTTGTTGTCCTCACAAATCCGAGTGATATCTTGCACTAAATCAGGCCACCCAGATGCCCGTGTTTCCTCGACAATTGATATCACAGAGTTGATCATGGTCACAGCATTCCCTAAGTTGGCGTCATTGGCTTGCAAGGTCTCACTGAGTGCCTGGGAGTGAGACAGCAATGTCATCAACACTTCCAAGTGAGTGACGAATGAAACGCTCATCGCTTGATTGAGAAGTCCTCGAGCTTCAACCACGAGTTTCGGATCTCGTTTCGATTCGTGTGAGTCACAGAAATGCTCCAAGACCTCAAGTATATAACTATACCGCGTCTTCAAAGTAGAAAGCGACTGGTAACGACAAACCCACCGCGTGTCACTCAGTCGGACGAGTTCTTTAACTCGACACTTGGCTCGTTGCTGGTAGTCTACAAAAACTTTATGGACGAGGGAACGGGTCATGAAGACGTACAACGCTTCCAACAAGACAAAAAACTCGCCGGCAGAACTCACGTTTTTACACATATCCACAAGGACCAGATTGAGCCTGTGCGCATGACAGTGGACATACTGGGCGTTCGGAAAATGTTCTTTCAGTCGTGCTTGTACTCCACTCAGATGTCCAGACATAACACTCGCACCATCATAGCACTGGCCCACAATGTCAAATTTTCTCAAGCCAAGTTTACCAACTTCTCGCACTATCTGGTTGGAAAGTGACTTGGCGTCAAGATCATCTGCTTCATGAAAGTCTAAGAATTCCTCATGCAAGATATGTCCCTCTGCTTCTTTGTATTCGGCATATCGCAAGCAAATGCTGATTTGTTCTTTCTTTGAGACGTCTTTACTCTCATCCACAATGATTGTGGCCAATCCTGCAGAGTTCACCTCCTCCGCAATTTGTTCCCGAATTATTTCCGCTGTCACGTTCAGGAGCTCATTCTGAATTTCGGCGCTGAGATAAGTAGCATTGAGAGGCATCGTTTTGATTCTTTCACCGAAAGCAGGATTGGCATCACCGATCAGAGAACACAGTTCTAAAAAGTTCCCTCGATTAAGTGAGTCCGCACTCTCGTTATGACCCCTCAAAGCTATTCCCTGTCTTGCGAGGAAAATGATTACTTTAGAAATCTGGGTTATGTATGCCCAGTTTTCCTTCACTATTCGAGAGTATTGTCCGGATATTTTGGAAGCAATGCTGCCTTCACTCAGACTTTGAAGGTAGTGGTGCCATCTTGAAAACGAAGTCTTGTGGCTTTCACTTTCGCTGTGCTTCCTAAATTTCTCGATAGCCTTCTTCCATTGATTTATCCCATTTTCAGTGAAATTGTGTTCTTTGTGACCGGATATTGACGGGAAAATCCGGCAACAGTAGCAGAAGGCAGCATCACTGATTGCGGAGTATTCCAGCCATGTGAATTGTTTGTACCAATCTTTGTTGAACGATCGATTTTTCCCACCTGTTTTAACTTGAGGGAATGACGCTAGGATTGGTTGTTTCGGTCCAGAATCCTTTGATCCTAAATCCAACAACCCAGCATTACTCTCAGCCTCACTTATCAGTTTCACATCACTTTCCGACGATCCAGCACTTGTTCTACTGGATGGACCCGGTTGCAGTGTTACTGATGATTCTCGCAGACCTCCCTCTTTCAATTCCTCATGTTCCTCTCGAAATTCCTCTGTTTTGCGTGATTTACTGTCACTAAATTCCGCTCCTGATTTACCCCGACTCGTGAATCCAAATTTAAAAAGAGACATTTTTCATTGTAATACTGAAATAATTATCAGAGCAGTGTATGTAATCCAGCGTAGTCAATAGTAGTGGCCAATCATAAATCCTAATTAATGTACTGTGTATCTATAGATACTGCACTGTACAGTGTACACACCGAAAAATGTCCATAATATACAACTTCACCTTACGCGCATATAGTCAAAACAATGAACCCATTGTATTTGTCCCGAACTTGACCCCACGCGCGACGATCAGTCGGTAGATTCATCCACACAGGCTATTATGTAATTTACTTTCGGAATGTTTCAGTTATCAGAAATTCTGAAAAATGGCTGCTTAATGTGATATAGGTGAAATGAAGTTGAAGGCATAATAAAATAAAGTTATGAAGAATGTGTGAAGTAAATAGTATAAGGCTTTTGTTTTCATAATAAAAAAAGTTCAATCGATCTTGGAAATTTTGGGGGGGCACGTGCCCCCCCCCCCCCCCGTGCCCCCCCCCCCCCGTGGCTACGCGCCTGACGGTTACACCACGTGAGAGGGAGGGGGATTGGAAAGTCCTGAAAAGGACCGTCGGTAACCTTTCATTCTTTAGCGTGTGTGTAGTCCTTGTTAAACCGTTTAGTGGATTCGATTTTGGTATCAGTATTGAATATGATCACATTGATCGTGAATCTATTTCTTTATTTTCGGCATTCACATTTTACATGTACGTTCGTGATACGTCCACCGCCGTATCCCTCTCCAAATCTCTGCCTCTTAATCTTTATCTTATTTTGATTTATTAGGGGCATTATTCTGGCATATTATGGTCATGAACGAATAGGAGGTAATATCCTTAAAATGAGTTATGGGAGTGCAAACTTGGAACTGGATAATGTTGGAAACCATCCCAACGCATTTTTGTGTAATGTAGCCTTGATTAATGGTGGTTAGCCGTCCTTCTGATGATAAAATTATTGCAACATAAGTTTCGGATGGATGTCATCGATGTACCATCAGGGAGCGACCAAACGCAAACATGCAATTTTCAAAGCTTTTTCAATCTTCTGACAAAGACTATTCAATTATATAGGCCGAGTAGACATTCACTCATAATTATGATTTAGTTTTGCGTTTCCATGGTTACAGGATCGCGCTACCAGGACACGGAGAAGTACTTACCTAACAACTACTGGTCTGACCCGTGCCACCTGCAGGGTCCTTACCATTTCTTCAGCGTTGAGCAGAACTTCTGCTCCAAGACCGTGGCGGCTGAGGACGACTACAACTGGGAGTGGCCTCAGGGCGAGTACTGCATCTTGAAGAAGGGCACTGAGTGCCCATCAGGTGAGAGTGCAGTTACTGGTAAAAAGAGGGTTTTGATTAAGGGCGCGGTTTCTGAAAGGGGGTTGCGAAGTCAAGGGAAAGAGGTCTAAGAAAGAGTACTTCATCTTGAGAAGGATACCGAATGCCCTGTACTTGAAAGTGGTTACTTGTATAAAAGAGGGTTTGGTTAAGGGCGCGGTTTCTGAAAGAGGGGGAGGAGTGAAAGGGGAAAAAAAAGAGTAATTCATCTTGAAGAGGGGTACCGAATGCCCTGCAGTTGAGAGTAGTAACTGGTATCAAACGAAGGCATTTGTTGAGGGCGGGTCTCCTGGGAGAGGAATGGTGTGTGTGGCGAAAAAGCTATATAAGGATTATTATCATGAGATCATAATCACAGTCACCTCTTCATAACATGACGAAACACAATTATGACACTTTAACATTTCGAATTCGGCAGGTTTCGACGAGGGTTGGGTGCTCTGGGATGACAGCGATCTCCTCAACTCCAACCGTGCCACGGGCGAGCTCCCCGAGGGCGTGTACGATCGCGACACTCTGATGTACTTCTGCTGTCGCGAAGACGGTTCGGCGTCGAATGAAGTCTTCCTCCCGACCGACGACAACTTCTTCCTCTTCCAGAAGTCGACGGTGTCATGTCAAGAGGTGTTCGGGATGAGTGTCAACGAGGAGTTCTTCCGATGGGACGGGGAGGACGATCGCGTGGTGCTTAAGGACTACGTTGGAGGGAGTACACCCTACAACACAGGAAAGGACAGTGACCATAAGATACACTATTGCTACTACTACACCGGCGAGATGGACTAACTAACACTGAATCATTTACACCGCACTTCTCAGCGACTATAGGAGTACACCGTACAACACCGAAAATGACTGCGACAAACAGACATTATATTGCTACTACTACACCGGCGATATGGACTAGCTAACCCTAATGTATTGACTGCATCTAACACCAAACACCACAGATACTTCCAGGATGGGAGTACACCGTATAACATCGGAAATGACACCGGCCATAAGACACATCGGTACTATTACTACACAGGCGATTTGGACTAACACTGAACAAATTGCCATTACACCGTATAACCAGGGACATGCTGTCCCTGGTATAACATAGGAAAGGACAGTGGCAATCAGATACACTACTGCTAGTAGTAAACTGATGATATAGGCTACACGATGACATGATATCTTGACACTTGGCACCTCGGGAAAGACTTCCTGACCAAGACTGATCACATGGGTCAACAACCCTCAATCTTACGTACAGCATTGGGAAACAATATCATACAACAACAGGGGGTTCAAAATAATTAACAACATTCACAGTTTCTCAAGCTACTATTCATGAATAAATTTCCTTATTGTGAAAATGTAATTTGCTTTTGTTGTTGTTGTCGCTGTTTTATTTTGGTTTTTGGTGTTTGTTTTTTTTTAAGTTCAAGAGTCCATTTATCTCTACCATGTCTTTTTTCAGACAAATTAATGACAAGACCTGTCTAATTTCATTCTTAAAACGATTGGAAATGTTTAAAAACGGCAGATAATGCTTATTTTGTTGGCAACTTGATATAGATTACCTCCATTACACTCTGACGAAAACAATGAGTAAGCTTCAATTCAGACTCATCGCAATTTGTCACAGCGTGATTAATAATTTCAAAGAAAATGAAGTAAAGAAGTTATTTACTGTTTCAAAGTCTTGCAGGATGTTATAGTTTCATCGGTAAATTTCTACCCTTAGGTTGTTGTTATTTTTTTTTTTTTTTTTTTTGTAACGTGTAAATGGCAACTGCGCACAACAAACCCAAGATCCTACACGCAACCACAATGTGAAACGTGTTACATTTAGGTCATCATACAAAAAAAAACGCCGTGGTTAAACGCTTCATATAATCATGATTAAAGCAATTGTAAAACTGGTTATCAATTTTGCTTTCCAGTCTACCGAAATGCCCCAAGTACTTTACGTTAGGTATCTGTAATCTCTAGACCCAAATGACAGTGCATTCAAACTCACGTCTCTCTCGGGGGAAAGTGGGAGGCACAATACAAATTCACACAAAAATGATATGATACATTTTGGATGCCTCGTGAATAATAATATGTGCTTATGTTTCCGTATGTGGTACAAAGCCACGTACTGTGGTGGAGGAAGTAAACGCAAAGCCTCCTTTTCATGGTGTCTCTGCGAATTGATACTTTCATTTCTCTGCCTTCAACATGCGTGCTATTCATCGACGTTCTCCCTTTTGAAATGAAAATGTCAGAAAGGAAGCTGAGGCGCTTTTCATGAAACTGAAAGGAACATCTGTTTGAGGAACAAAAGAGAACAAATGAGTAACGGGCTCTATTTCGTTTCTCTCTTTGCATTCTATTTTATGATCTCTCTCTCGCCCTCTCTCTCTCTCTTTTTCTTTCTCTCTCACTCTCTCTTCCATGATCTCTCCCACTGTCTCTCTTTTTAGGACTTATTTCCGAATGCACTTTTATCTCACCAATGGTCTCATGCACTTTTCCTTTTTTATACTTTCTTTAAATAATGACACTCGTTTTTCGTTCCTGTTTTCCCCGTTTCATCTGTCTCGATCCGTCTCTTACAATACATTTTCTATCTTATTAATTATCTCTTTTCGATGTTGTGTATCTGTTTTATATCTCCTCTTTTTTTATCCCCTCTTCGTTCTCTCTCTCTCTCTCTCTCTCTCTCCCTCTCTCTCTCTCTATCTTTCTATCTGTCTCTTCTCCTCTCTCTCTCTCTCTCTCTCTCGGTTTCCCAACTCTGACTTCCCTTCTCTCTTCCCTTTCCCCCTTTCTTTCTGAATGTCCTATTTCATTTATTTCCCATTCTCGCTCTCAATTTATGTTGCCTTAAGCTGTCTGTTCCTCTCTCTGTAACTTTCTCCCTCTCTCTCTCTCTCTCTCTCTCTCTCTTTCTCTCCCTTTCTCTATCTCTCTTTCTCCGTTTCTCTCGCCTCGCTCACAACTCTCTCTCCCCCTTCTCTGACATCATTTTTTCTTTCTATACTCCTATTCTCTATACCCTGTCTCTCAGTTTCCCTTAGCAATGGATATGACATTGTACAGTTTTGTATGCAAAACGAATCAATCTTTTATTTTGCCTGGGATCTATTGAAAGTCCCTGCTCGTCAAAACTGGTCGGCCTTTTCTCCCTTTTCTTCTCCCATATCCTCCCCGTTCGTTTCTTTTCTTTTCTTTTCTATGCCGCTGATGTTTTATCAGTAGTGGCGATAATAACGTTATGTTGAATCGGCCCTTTGACGAACAAAAACGCTGGCGCTTGCCATGATAATAAATATTTGTTTGCTTCTTTCTTTAGATCGGAGTGAAAACGTGGGCATATCATTATTAGGATAGGTTTGTACATACAAGCAGCGGCCAGCGTAGAGCAATGCAATAATAGCTGTGGCAGCTAGTCATTCTATATGCGGGCCTGCGTCGTGCGTTTTTCTACACAAGCTGCGAAAATACGTGTTAAACTGTACTCCTTTTAAGGTATCTAACTAACTCTTTGCTTTGGCAATATTTAATATCGTTTTCGCTTGAAATACACTTGGAATCATCAATTGTTTTTATCAGAATCGTGAATGTTCTCAATTTTGGAGGTGATGCGTTTACGGAATAGTTTGATCTCCAGTTGAAAATAAACGCTTTTCGAGCTGTCGCTGTGTGGATAATATTTCGGATCATGTTCGCTAATAGGGAGCCTCTCGTCTGGTATTTCACCCGCCAAAAGTTTGAGAGGTAAGTGGATGCCTTTCACATCACGGGCATATCCCCGAGGGGAGGGGTTATGCGTCTCGTCCTGTTACTCCTTGCAGAACGGAGCCATGGACGATTGGAGCAGGGGGTACTTGGGTCATGTTGCAGGGAGTACGGGTGCTTGTTGATAGGGGTACTATCTCTGAATTTGGAGTGGACTTGTAACTAAAAATGTGAGGATTTTTTTTTGTTTCGAGTAAATTTTGTTAACGGCTAGCACTGTATATTCTTGTTTTTTAGAGAATGTTGGAGTGATAAGACACTCTTTAGCCAACCCAGTGCAAAAGTCGCTTCTATATAGGTTACTAGGTGGAGCTGCTCGCTCTTAGGAACCCAAAAGTGCATATTGTTTTCTATTTTGAAATTAATCTGTTTGATGATTATGTTAAAGAGAGAGAAGGAGAGAGAAAGCGAGAGAGAGAGAGAGAGAGAGAGAGAAAGTGATGTAAGGTAACATTTTTTTTGGTTTAAATAAAAGAGAGCAGCAGAAACTCTGTTACTGTCACATTGGCCAGTAGCCAAGGGGTGGGCATTTTTATATTGTTACAACATTTTACAAGGGTGTTGATTGCAATATCAACAGGGCGTTGAACAGTGGAGATTGCATTAGACCTCATTAAAGTTGAAAAAAGTGTGAAATCTTTGATAATACGTCCTTTAGCAAACGGTTCCATCAAAGCGAAAATGACGTCACTGGTGGCGTCAAACTATGAAGATGGTAGTGCGTATTGAAATATTGAGCGGGGGGGGGGGGGGTAAGCCTATTGGAAAGGACAACATTCTTGATCGGAATTACAGACATGCAGTGGCTTAACATGGAACCAATGCGCATGGGGTCATTGGGGGGGGGGGGCTACATTTGGCATCATGGGGTGGGGTGGGTATATAGAGTTTTTCTACGTGGAAGAGATTCAAAGGGGCAAACTCTCCCTCCTCTTTCTCTCTCTCTCTGTCTCTGTCTCTCTCCTTCCCTTCTCATTTTGAGTTAATTGTAGGGACTAATGACGTACGCCCCTATATCCCTCCCCCAGTAGCCACGTCACGAAATGACCTCATCACTCACGATTAAGAGAAAACAACGGTACAAGAAAAAAAGAAAACATTTGGGGATAAAGGAAAGAGAACAGGTAGGATGAAGAGACGTGAGTGATGATCATTTCAGACCAACGAGCTAAATTTGACCCGGATGCCCGTTGCACACGAGGCGTCATTTTATGACGTAGGAATGCGTCAGAGTTTGGCATGATCTCCATGATCTTCACCGCGCTATGAGAGAGTAACAGCGTAAACAATGTAAAAACGAAATGAAAAGTGCAAACATGATTTCTAATAATCACTGGAAGCATGGATTACCTTCATGGACTCGGTGAGTGCAGGTAAAAACGCACTCAAAATGGTGCCCTGTGTGAAAGTGACCTTTTGTCCATTTTACACGAGGTGTCATGTGCTGACGTAGGGCTCCGTCAGCGGTTGGCGCAGTCTTTGACGCAGCGTGTGAGAAGTTTGTCGTACATAAATTGAATACAAAATGAACAGTGCGAACATTGCGTTAAATTACTGGCGCATGTTAAAGCCCCAGTCCCATATAAAGCCGGACCAGCACGGACGAGCACGGACCACTCCGGACCATCCCGGACCATGGTCTGGGGTGATCCGGGATGGTCCGGGATGTTTTGTTCAAAAAAAGTGTGATGCTTTTAAGCTACAGTCCCATATATGTCCCGGACCGTCCCGGACCATCCCGGACCCCATTCGGGGTGATCCGGGATTCGGTCCGTGTTGACACCGTGTTGGCACCGGGGTGGTCCTGGATGGTCCTGGATGGTCCTGGATGGTCCTGGATGGTCCTGGATGGTCCTGGATGGTCCTGGATGGTCCTGGGCGGTCAATAACTCACTCCCGGACTGCCACGGATCAACACGGACCGCCCCGGCGCCACTACGGATGACCCCGGACCCAGCACGGTGGCTACACGGATCACCCCGGATCAAACTATTGTCCCGGACCGTCCCGGACCACCCCGGCAGTTTTTGACCGTCAAAAACATCCGGGGTCGACTCCCGGACCGCCCAGGACCATCCAGGACCATCCAGGACCACCCCGGTGCCAACACGGTGTCAACACGGACCGAATCCCGGATCACCCCGGATGGGGTCCGGGATGGTCCGGGACGGTCCGGGACGTATATGGGACTGTAGCTTTAGGTGTCGTGGTTCAGTGAATAAGTCTCCGGACTGTAAACCTCAAGGTTCGGAGTTCGAATTCCTGTCGCAACACTGATGTCCTTTGGCAAGACATTAATCTACAGTTTTCACACTCCAGACTCCACCCAGGTGAAGTAAATGGGTACCTGGCAGGATTAAATTCCTTAAAATGGTCTAGCACTGTCATGGAAGCCGTGCTAAAGCCAATGTAATAATAATGGAGCGCCAGTAGTGGCAGTGTGCCAGACATAATCGCTATACAAGATTTATTATTACCTTCGTAGGTTTGGCTAGCGTGGGTAATCAACTTGCAATTACCCATTTCGCATCATTCTGCAATTAT